TTTTAATATGCTTGTTTAGTTTTTCTCAGTTAAAAGCAGAAAAGGTCACCAACTTCTAAAATTCTTAGATTTGGTAGTCAAAATCCCTGGGGTTGCTGAGTGAGATTAGGATTTGATTAACTCCGAACTCAGGATTTCTCAGGAACCATATTCCAGAAATGAAGCTCTCCTCCTAGCTCTGAATGTGGGCACCTAGAAAATTGAGGAATTCTTGTCTATGTTGATTTTTTTTCATTGCCTTCTGCTAACATTAGACTGAACTTCGTATGAAAAGTTTTATTTCCTCTCTTTCAAACACATATCTCACTTATTAATTAAAAGTGGCTACTGTGTGTAGATATCAGGCTAGTTAGATTTTTTGTAATGGCAATCTGAAGGCTTACACTAAATAAAATTAATTTGGTTTTGAAGAGCCATTGCAGTCATAATGGAACTTATCATGGTTATTGCTACTGTGCAGGCAGTTCTCTAATTCAATTATGCTTGTGTATGCCAGTTTGGGATAGAAATTGAGGTAAGCCAAGAAATCTAGGATACATGAGATAGAGCTTCAGGGATATATGTAGACCTGTATGATTCTTCTCTCAACTATTGTCTCTCAACTATTTTGATGTGTTCTTCACTGGAGCTGATACAGATATGAACTGCAGAAAGAATTCAATGCGAGTAGCAAACAGAAATAACTATGGGACTCTTATTTTAATCGCCAAACTCAGTAGACTATTCAGCACAATTAAAATTTGTTCTAATCTAGTGTGATTAATTCAGCTAGAATGATTGAAATGAGCTTGATATAGCAAGTTTCCTTTGGAGAGTGCTGTAGTCTCAAATGAAAATAATATCTCAGATGCATGAACAGCAGATCATTGTGAGAAATGCCCATTAAGATGTGTTCACAAGCTCCGTAGGAAGAGTGTGAAATGGCAAAACCTTCTTAAATTTACTTGCAACAAGTTTATATTTTGGGAATTGGTTTGATGTCCTTAAACTTTGTTATGTCCTGGTCTTCAGTACATTAGGCCAATGTTTGCCTGAAAAATGTGAAATCTTATGTAGTACAAGAGTAACTTGCAAAACTAAAAGCAAGCTGTGCTTACAGATGTAATGGCCTTGAAGCAGAAATCTTTTGTGAAATGTAATAAACTGGTGTGACATTTATTAAAAGTACTAAAATAATTGTACTAACTAGATTTATTTTCTTTCTTTTCCTCTTTCTGAGCTTTTGGCATCTGGGTTTTCCTTCAGGTACGTAGGTAGGATTTTGAGAGCTTTTGTTTGAGGTTGACAATACACTGAGAGGTAGATCTGTATTTTTTCTTATAGAGACCTGCTTAAAAAAAAAAAAAAAAAATCAGCCTTAAAATAGCACCTAGACTGAAAACAATGCAACTAAAACGTGAACAAAAGGTTTTGGACAGCACATCACTCTTTGTAGGTCAATGAAAGCATCAGCAGAAAGCATCTGTATTTGGAAAGAAGACCTGCTGACTTAATTTGTTTACATACTCCAAAGATTTTTCAAGAGTTTTTACTACTTGGAAATTGTAATGTATCTGAACTGGAGGCTTTTCCATTTTGCTTCAAATGTGTTTTGCACTATATACAGTGAAGCATTTAATTTAGCCCCAGGGTTTTTTTGTTTATTTCTTTTTACCATCTACTTCATTCTCCAGCTGTACATAGAAATTCAGTTTTCTTGTAATTGGGCAGGAGCCAATAAGGCAAATACACGAACTGAGGGCGTACTGCTAAATGCAAGCTTATCACCTTGAAGTTGGTGCAATTTTGCAGCATACTGCTGCTGTCCATTGATACTTACATGCGTATTGAGAAATGAGGCTGAAGTCATGCTGCACAGAATAAGTCTTCTTTTTAACTGCAAGTCCTTTGAAATAGCTAATTGTGCTGTTCCTAGCTGACTCTCTCTCTTGATTATGGATTAACATGGTTGTGTATGTTATGCCTGGGCTCATTTTTGAGTCCATTCTTGCACTTTCCCTTCAGTGCACTCAGGTTATATAAGAAATGTCTTAGCCAACAAAAAAATGTCCAGGAAGGCATGTTAGTACTGAACTTGCTTACCTAGGCAGTTTGTCCCCTGCAGACTGTGGGATATGTGCTAGCCACAGAAGATCTTCCACTGAGTTCAGAGTTGCATAAGGGTTATTTCAGCATGTTTGCTCCATCTAGGGTGATGGCTGACCTCTGGCAGGCAGGTATGTTCAGTGTGGTAAACCACGGTGGAGTGGATTTTTAAGAGATTGGTCACTGTGAATGTTAACATTTTAGTTGGTTTGGATTCCTTAAATGTTTTTCTGTTGTGTTAGATGTAATTCAAGTGCAGAATATCTCATTACATTTGAGTAGTGAAATGTCCTTTTAACCACTGGGGGAAGTTCAGGGGTTTTCTTGTGTTTTTGAAATTCATGCGCGAGTGTAACTTGGATTAACCCATGTTGGTTTTGTTTGTTTTTTAAGATAATGCATGTCAGCATTGTGGATGAAATTAGTTGATATGTGAAGACCTGCAGCTCTTTCTCTTGCTAAGAATCTAGTTTTCCTAAGCAAACTTGCATTTTGTTATTTGCAAATTTGTTACTGCATTTATGTGCTCTAGTCTGTTCCATTTACAATAGCTTTGCCTACCACCAAGACAAAGTGAGATGCTTTTAGAATTAATAACAATTTGCTATAGCAGTCTGGTGGTTTTTTAAATGTCTCTAGTCTAGTTACTCAGTAACAAATATCTTTCAGAAATGTTTTTGTGATACGTACAGTTCACCCAGAAGTATTAATCTTTTTCAGAAAGTCAACAAAATACACAGCTGTGAATATAAAAGATGTGTGTACCATTGCAACTGAATCCTGTTCAGATCAGAGAGGGGACTTTGAAAGCTCTCTAGCCACTTCCTGGTGCAGTCATGAAAAATGTGGTGGCTCGGTGCTCTTGAAAATTGTACTCTCTATTTGTGTGCCCTGCCTTTTCCTCCTCAGCTTTTGTGAATGTTACAATACTTCTTACAATTTTGTCAAATGTGGCAGTGAAATAGCTAGCTGTTAATTTTGGAATCAGTGCTGGTCAGCTTTAAATGCACAGCCAGCTATCTGAGTTGGGAAATCAAAGGTGGCAAACATGTCCCACAGGTCATTTCAGCTATTTTAGCCTGACAGCTCAGTGAGCCTTGGAGTGGAGGGGGAATTGTTGACCTTACTTGACTACATGTTGATACTTGGATTCACTTTTAGATTTGAGACCTCGCCACAGCCTCTCATGTGACTTTCTGTGCTTCATATCTTCATCTATTCATATTGGGCATGTTTTTATGTAAAAGTCCATGCAGGGAAGATGGCCTTTGTAGTGAGGATTGTTCCAGTGCAGAGTTTTTCTTCTGAAAAGACTTGTGAAGAATTGGTGAAAGGCGTTGACTGTATAAGAGCGTGAAGGGTTGAAAATGGTTGTCAAATTTGAACCACATATGTATAGACAAATATAACTCGGTTGCAGCTCACAGAAGCAAAACTGATGAGAAGTGATCCTTTACCAGGATGTTCTTGTGTGTTTTCTTTGTCTTTAGCAACCACTCTCACTTGTGCTCATCTTAATAAATAAATAAATAAAGCCATAATTTTCTCTGAGGAGAGCAGGGAGAAGTAGGGAATTTATCTCAGAATTTCTCAGGCCTCTCAGCATGTTTAAATAAGTCTTGGCAGCAGGTTGCCTCTTCTGGCATTATTCCCCTGAAATCTGCTGTCTAGTAATCTGCTGATTACTTTAATTCTACTTTAAATTGTAGGGAGGATTGCTGAGGGAAGTGCTAAATGTGTGCCACCTGCTCCCACGGTCAGGTGCCATGAATATTTAAAGATGAAAATACTATAGAAAGCAGTGTTCATGAAAACAACAGGACTGGTGTGTGACCAACAGCATTGTCAGTTATTTTTAAAATAATGCATACATTGCATATTTACATCAGCGTGTCAGAGAAGGGAACCTTTAAGCTTTGGCTTATGTCCAGAACCAAAGAAGAAAAGAAAGTAATGCCATGAGGAATATGTTTCATTTTAATCTACTTCACTGCTAGAGACCTATGTTGCTCTCTCTTTAAAGTTATTATTATTATTACTTTCCTTCAAGGGGGAGCGTAAGAAATGTAAGAAAGTCCAAAGAAATTCCCTCCTCTAAGTGCTTACAGAAGAGTACTTGAAATGCTGCTAGAGAAAATGCTGCACCTTGTGTTATTATTATAACACTACTAATAGTTTACAGGAGGACTTAACAAATCCTGGTGGGATTGTTCCAGCACGGAAACTGTCCTCCAAGAAGAAGCGATAGATGGTTTCCACAAACATCTTACAGTAGTTGTTTCTTGGTGTTAGAAGGATCTTACGCTTTCTGGGCTAAGGGGCGACAAAAGCGCTTTCCCTCAAGAAGGAAGGAAGCTCGATGTACAGATTTAGTGCCCCTTAGAAGTAAGCCCTTTAAGGATAGAAATTTAATTTGGTAGAGTCAGCTTGTGTTTAGTGCAACAGAAATATAGAGTATGGAATGTTTTTAATTGGATGGGCCAAAGGGATTAGATAAAACACCACCAACTACAACAATAACACCAAAGAACACCCAAAGAATCTGAATTTAAGATGGAATGTTAAAGAGGAGGGAGAATATTGGAGCAAGGTATGTGGGTCCAGTTCTACTTTATGAGGTAATTAGAATTTTTACTGTGAAGAAGTAAGAGAAGTGTTTTTGCAGGTGTAGTATTATTGATTTGGTGGAGAGAAAGGACACCTCTGTATTCTGTGCAGTGTATAACAATAATATGTTCTAAACACTAAACACTGGATTTTTCAAAATACAGCAAGAGATAGAAGTCAGGCCAGCCTGCTCAAAGCAGCACCTGCATTCCAGTGGTTAGTGCAGATCATGTGATGGAAGTTACTACCCAGGTAAAATGTTAATGACTAAACTTGGCACAGTTGAAGCTTTTAATCTTTTATTGCAGTTTTCTAAGGAGCGGCAAGTTATGGACAACAGCCCAGAAAAACTGAAGAAAGAGCTAGAGGAAGAACTGCAGCTCAGCAGTGAAGATTTGCGTAGCCATGCCTGGTACCACGGACGGATTCCTCGGCAGGTATGTTATTCCTTATCTTTTTGTTGCCAACAGCGTATTGAGCTTTCATAGGCAGAATCGCACTAAAGAATTACACATGCCTCTAGTATCTGCACTAATTTAGCAGGCACATAATACTTTTTAACTGTGAAAGTTGTGTTTATGACAGCTTGGAGCAAAATGAAGTTGAGGAAGGATTCGGGGGAGACTCTGGTGGAAATTATAACTATTTCAGGATTTTTTTTCACTGAGTAAAGGCAGAAATTGAGTTTAAACTTTCTATCAGAACAGTATCCGCACATATTGTTCAGACAATACTTTGATTCAGTATACTGAGCTAAAGTTTAAATGTTCTTTGTTTGCTTTCTTGTGCACTAATTTTGGGGAAGAAAAAAGCACAAAGTCTCTGCAGTAACTTTGCTCTATGACTATTATGACTGCGGTTAGAAATGTGTTACAACAGCCGTTGTATTGGAACTCAGCTTCCAGGAGTGCCTGGAGCTCCCCCTGCGGGCTTCCCCCTCTGCGCACCCGGCTCTCAGGGGAGCCACGGGCTGCCTGCTGCCCCATCAATAAGGAGAGCAGACGTAGCGGCCATGTTTGTGACTTCACGTTCGAAGTTTGACATAGAAAGGACTGATTTAGTGCAGCGAAACAGGATTTTTCTGACTCCTTCCTAGTTTTATGCAGTATTCATGAAGAATAAAAAATGAAAGCTTCTGTCACTTCAGGTAATAATGAAAGCACAATTTCTGGGGTCCTGTGGTAATTATTTCTAAATGTTTGTGTGGTTGTATATTCAGATGCTTTAAACTGTAAAATAAAGTCATTTATTTTCTTTCATATTTTGCTTTCTAGTAGCAAACTAGAAGGCATTTATACATGCAAAAGTGTACGCATTCTTCTGATTGCTGGGTGTTTTCCAAGAAATCCCTCCAGATCTTTGCTGTGGGATGACATCATAATTTTTAGAATTGGAGATAAAATTTTTTCTACCATGCTTTGTGCTTTGCTTTCTATTTCCTGATTTTGTCTGTCCTGCTAGGGTAGCCAAATTAAGTCCTGTGTTTAAGAATATTTTGTTGTTTGGTGGTACTTGGTATTTGAATATTTGCTCCCTGATTCTAAAAGTATTTTTTGTATAATCTTTTTCCTTACAGGTGGCAGAAGACCTAGTTCAGAGGGATGGAGATTTTCTGATTAGAGATTCTCTTTCCTGTCCTGGCAGCTTTGTTCTTACCTGTCAGTGGAAGAATACCTCTCAGCATTTTAAAATCAACAGGAAAGTTCTAAGATTAAGTGAAGCCTACTGCCGTGTTCAATATCAGTTTGAACTTGAAAGTTTTGACAGTATCCCTGGCTTAGTTAGATACTATGTTGGGAATCGCACACCAATATCAAAACAGAGTGGAGCAATTATTTTTCAGCCTATCAACAGGACTGTGCCTCTCAGGTGTCTAGAAGAAAAGTATGGCTTAACTCCAGACCGACAAAAAGAGCAAAGTATCCCTGAAGAAAAAACAGAAACTGCAAAAAGACTGAGTCTTGGTATAGCCAGCATGCAGTCCCAGGAGCAGAGCATACCCAGAGGAAATCTTTTGAGGTACTTTCATTTCTCTGTCCTTAAAGGATGAAGTGAGGTAGCTCCATCAGCTCCCACTGTGGGTGTGGGATAACAGATGTTAATTACAGTGTCCAGATCAATGTCATATTAAGAACTCTCAACATTCAAATGAGCTCCTAAATGCTGGAAGTTCACACGTATTATAACTTATTTAATTGCTCCCATGGTGGCATGAAGTATCTTTTAATCATACAAGCTGCCTGAGTAGAAAGCTAATGATCTTTGCCCTAATCGCAGTATATTCTCTCAGTTAGATATGTGTGTTAAGATTGCAGAGTATATTTATGTTTTTGCTTGGATTTTTGTTTACCCTAGAAACAAAGAAAAAAGTGGTAGCCAGCCAGCTAGTTTGGATCACGTTCTGGACAAGAGATTCCCTCTTAAAACTCACCAGTCGGAGAGCTATCTGCTGAGAGGTACGTTTTGTGATTAAACGTTTCGCACATAAAAGCAGTGAGTGCCTAAGTTTTCTGTTATGCTTCAGACAAAAGTAAGACTGCTCTGAGTACTGCATACAGTTACCACTATATAAGCTAAATTAATATACTGCTTGCACTGTAAGTACAGTCATTGGAATAGGTTCTTTAGTTACCAGTGATACATCCGTTGTGATCTGGGCAAATTCTAGTGCTTGCCTTCCGAGGCTGCCAGTCATTTTGAATATGTTAACTTAAAATTATACTGCTCATTGTGGGAAGACTACTTGAGACAAAAAAGATACTAAGTACTTGTATGGTGAGACTGTATTTTGATAGAAAGGATGTGCTTCTATGTTTAACATTTTACATGTGTAACAGAGACATTTAGAAAACAAATTTCTGTCCATCTGTAATTAAATTGATTATCTTATTCCAATCTATGGCTGCAAAATCCTCACTTTGGTACCGTGAATCTTTAATTTTGTATTAATCTAAAAAGTAGTGCTGTGCATTTTGTCATGGGGTCCTCTGAGCAGGTTCTGACATCATAGCACTTATAGGCAATGGGCATATTTTGTTGACTTGTACATGAATTGAGAGTCAACTGAAACAAGCAGTAAAAAACACTTTGCAGTACGTAGCAGCAAATGCACTGAGAACTGCAGATTAGGAATGTCTGACAAACGTTCAAGTCCCACATTGGATATTGAGTTTTGCATACACAATGAACATAGGATTCAACACATAAATGCTTGGATACATTTTTCCAGCTCTTCAAACTAGCTACTATTCAGCCAAAAAAGTTAGCATCCCTGAAATTCATTCCTTCCATACCTTAGTATGTGCTCAGGCTTGACTTTGGGAAGCTTTTCTTTCATCTCAAACTTATCATTCTCAGAAATGACTCATCTGTTATGCCGTGTGGCTGGAAGTTTCTGTTTTTGTAGCACAGATCAGGTTACAAAGAAACCTCCTATTCCAAGCCATGGAGACTATCCAGCTCTGACATTACAGCCTATGTATGCAGCTGGGACTGGAGTTATTGTCAGCATTCCCACAGAATAACACAGTGCAGCTGTTCAGTGTACTTGGGATTTTGGGAGGATCAGCAATTGAATGGAATTTGTTGGCTAGCTCATTCCTCAAAATTTAACTTCGTATACATATAATCAGTGAATAATTTGCATGTTCAGACAATAATTTCCTCAGGAAATAGTGTTAAGAAAAGACCCTGGGATGTAGGCACCAGGAATTGTGTGTTTTGGCCTTCTAAATTAACGTATCAACAAAATAGAATTTTTTTTCTTTTTGTTTTCTTCTGCAGGTTCAAGACATTCCTCTCGATTACCTGAAGCAGATGCTGACTCCTGCCCAAGCTCTCCTGCATTTAGAACAGGCAGTGAACCTTCTTTAAGCCCCACAGTTGTTCAGAAAGTAACCTATGATTCACAAGCAGGAGAAGCTCTTAGAGGATCAGACAGCCAGCTCTATCCAAAGCCTCCACCTAAACCCAGCAAAGCAGCCCTGCTGAAGACCCCAGATTCTCCTACGGTTTCCCATAGCTCAGAAGGACACTATTGTGAGCTAAGCCTTGCCAGAGATTCTGCAGCAACAAAACAACATTTATGCCAGAAAAACAGCTACGTGGAGCATCTGACACAAAAGGAGAGGGGAACACAATCGTTCAGGAACTCTGAAACAAGTTATTTGATCCTGGATGATGACCCTACAACGAATTCTGCAAGTCCTTTAGATGTTTCAACTGAGATGGATGAAAAAAATAATGTGTTTTCTGCACCTCTTTTTGAGACGTTGTCTAGTTTTAAACCAAATGATTTTGAATCCAAACTACTTCCTTCTGAAAACAAGCCTTTGGAAACATCAATGCTAAGAAAAATTAAGGAGCTTTTCACCAAGAATAACCCAAAGGTTATTGCACAGCATATTCTTAGAATGGACTGCAAGGTAAAAATATATGTATATATACATATTATATATTATATACATATATATATATTCCACTATACTTTATATTGTGCAAGTATAGGGTTTTTTCAGAGAATAAGATTTTAAAAGATTGATAGATTTGCAGCTAACATATTAAATGTACTGACTCGTAGGAATTTTTGGGTGACTTTTTTTTTTTTTTTTTTTTTTCCTATTTGAAGAACAAAAATATCCCAAATCCCTTTGGACTAAATGTGTCTCCTGTCAGCCTTGGCTTCAGACTCAAATTCTCAGTGTTCCATACATCTCTTTAATCTCCTATCAGTTGCTGTGTGTTCTCTGATTCTCACTTAGTGGTGGCTGCTGCTAAGTGAGGCTTCATGGAGATATGGCTGCTTAGAAAAACGTGGTCTAGGGGCAAGTGTGTTAACTCAGAGCAAGACAGCAGCTCTCTAGGATGCTTTCCTGGGGAGGTCTTGTGTTTTGATGCCTTCTTCCAGTGATAGCCTCTTTATTTTAAATCCTGTAAGCTTTGGACACTAAGGACTAAGGACACTAAATAGCTGGTAATATGGGAACCTGTACAATTAAGGAGAGGCTGGAGTGTCTTAAATATTCAGATTTGTGTATATTGGAGCAGGAACAATAACTAGCTAGTGCAGGCAAGTCTGCATTGTTATCTTCATCTTGTGGAACTGAGAGCCAGTGACAGTCATTCATGGGTAACTTGTTGGATACTATTACACTGGTAAAAACTGCTAAGTTACAATTACACTGGCATGCCACCTGGGCCAGGATACACGCTTTGTACTGAGATCTGTGTCAAGGCTGAAGATCATAGGCCTTCTTGTGGTATCAGAAATTTTGCTTTTAAATAACATCTGCAGTTTTATAGAAACTTTAATTTGTGGAAGAAGCACCTCTGTATTAAGTGGTGGAGTGAGTCTACCACTTGTATGTTGGAGAGGAATCTTTGTGAAGTAACTGTGATCCGCATGCATCCAGGGCATCACTCCTGCTTCTCCAGAAGTGAAAAAAGTTTCTCTATGGTGCTTGATATTGCACCAGTGAGGCTTGCTGCATGGCAGATTGTTTTTGTCTTTTCATAACCGAAAAAGCCTGCTGATAGATGTATTTAGAAATAAGAGGCAGATTGGTTTGTAAACATGTCAATGTTTAGGCCTTAATCTAGCAGATAACCTCACATTGTATTAATTTGGCTTTGCTTGTAATTGTTGCTAATTATAACCATTAGCTAATACACCACGGTTAAAAACCAGGGGCAAATTGGTGAGGATGTCAGTTTTCACATACTGATTTCATTAGGCGCTCAACACTGTGTCCTCCCCAAAGTTCTTTTTCTGGTTAATCCTTACAAGAACCCTGTGGTGTAATCTAAAACATTCTGAGCAATGTTGTCCTTTTAGAAATAAGGAAAGCCAAGCAAATGCAATCTCAAGGCCCCAAGAGCAGCGCCATGCTGATAAGCACCAGGTCAGGGGAGCACATTTCCTGGAGCTTGCATATGGATCTCCTGGAAGCAGAGGACACAGTTTGACAAAGTATTTTGGTCACACCTTTTATGCTTTCTTATTATGGAATCACTGGGCAGAAAGATTTTTTACTGCTCTTGTGGGAGACAGTGGCCGTGTGAGAGCTGAGTTGTTCTTGGATTGCTGCATTCCTGCTTATGTCCTAGAACTAACCTAGAGTGGAAAGTTTGGAAAGTTTGTGGGCTTTTTAAGTAGTTTCAAAATTCATCTTCAAATTTTTCAGGTGGCAAGGATACTAGACGTTTCTGAAGAGATGAGGAGGATTATGGGAGTGAACTCCGGTCTTGAACTGATTACTTTGCCTTATGGACATCAATTGCGCCTGGACCTAATTGAAAGGTAAATGTTCCTATGAGTCCTTATTTCCAAGGCAGATGGCCCTGAAAAGGACAGAGCACTGTTACTCTGTACTCAACATCTTCTCAAAGAATGCTTTCCTGTACGTTTGCTGAATTTGTGTGTGCAGAAGATAGTTTATCGCTTCTTTTTGCAAAAGTAAATTCCTTGAGGTCATAGGGCAACTCTGTGCTTGTAGTACTGGCAGGTGGGTGCTATGGAAAGCAGGATCCTAGAGCTGCTGAAAATCTTCAGCTCTCTTTTAATCTTTCCTATTAAGGAAAGTTCAGAGGACCTACGTTCCAGATGACTGCACAAGCAGTTTTTTTGGTAGAGAATCCTGATAATTGCCTTTTGCAGATGGGGAAAAGAGCAAAAGAACTAGCAAAGGCGGGGTGTGCGTGTGATTTTGTGGTTGGTTTTCTTTCTTCTTCTTTTTTTTTTTTTTAATTATTAGTATTTTTTATCAGCAAAGTTTTCTGCGAAAACTGTCCGAGTTAAGAGGGAGTAATCAGGATCTTCTATCCTGATTTAGTTTCTTTGATTCAGATGTCAGTAGTTTAGTTGCTGAAATTTAGGAGGAAGTCCTCAAGATTTGAGTGCAGAAGAAGCATAATGGGAACTGCGGCTATTATCCACCATTATCCAACAAGTTTGGTCACTCATTGCACAAGCAAAATTTTGCATTCAAAACTTTAGGGATATTCAGCCAGCCAGCTAGCACACCATAAGGCACTACTGATCTCTCTCTCTGATTTCTAGCTATTGACAGCTCATGTCCTATTCACAAGTGGAGTAAAACAGAAAAGCAACTCACTTGGCTGGTTCAGGCAGTCATGTTCCATATGCCTGATGTTGAGTGCAGCTAATATTCAACAACACTGACAGGGCGCTACCCAGGTTTTTTTGAACAGAGTACCACAGATCTGGCTGACCAGTAATTAGCACTGAATGAATAGCATTGAAGAAAACATACTAGAACATAAACTCAAAAAAACATTCTGTATTAATGGCATTGCAGCTCTTGATAAGAAGATGCTGTAAAGAGCAAGTGATACTGAAATATACCTGAGTTGATCTTCTCTGAACTTATGTACATCATAATGTATTAATAATTAGTAACCACTAATATAAATTGTTTCACTTGCAGGCACAATACCATGGCAATAGGAATAGCTGTGGATATCTTAGGTTGCACAGGAAATCTGGAAGACAGAGCTGCAACATTAAACAAGATCATCCAAGTTGCAGTGGAGCTGAAGGACTCGCTGGGGGATTTGTATGCATTTTCTGCCGTTATGAAAGCACTGGAAATGCCACAGGTAAAAAAAAATAAAAAAATAAAAAATCATCAATTTTCTCTTTACATTTCGAAAAGTAGTTATTAGTTGGTTCGATTAAACTAACTTATGTGGTAGCAGCATGTTTTTCCTGTGACTTGCTAGAGTAAAAAAATGTCTACATTCCTCTTATTTCATCTGAACAGGTCACCAGGTTAGAACAAACATGGACCTCTTTAAGACATCATTACACCCAGACTGCCATCATGTATGAAAAACAGCTGAAGCCATTCAGCAAAGCTTTGCATGAAGGACAAGGTGAGTGGAATACTGAGCATGAATTTGATGCTGTTTGGTTTAGCTTTTTAACTCTGCCCTTGCCACTTGCCTGTGGAAGGAGGTGAGCTGCTGTTTTGACAGCTGTGTATCATATATTTTAAAAGGCTACATAAAGTAGTAAAACAGTGAAATAGAAGGAAACAGTGCACAAGCCAAACAGGAGTATGTATGTGATTGATCACATGCGTCCATGCAAAACATAAAATGCAGTGGAGCAGAAACCAAGAATAACTGCAAAATCTTGCCTCAAAGACAGGATAAAAAATCTCCTTCTCTCTCTCCAAGGAAAGTTATTTTGGGCAGATTTGTTTTTTGTGTGCTTTGCCTACTGGATCAGATGATGAATTCTGGAATACAAAGAATGGGTCAATCGCATAATTCCTTTGATCACTTCATCAGGTGCTCTTAGCAGCTGATCTCCATCGGGGCCTAAGGGGGAGGGATGTTTCTATGAACACTTCTGTGGCTAAGAGAACAGGTAGAGATAGAAGACTTTTTAGTCCCACAGTTCTTGCTGTGGTTTATCTTATCTTGGCCCTCTCCCCCAAGCCAAGCAACTTACTAGAAACTGGCAGGACAGAACATATCAGAAGTGAGGTGCTGATTTTGTGATTCAAGACAAATGCCAGTTTCTGACTTAGAAAAGAATACTGCATTTACAATACTTGATTCAGTTAGCATTTCCATGTCTGATATGGTTTGTTCTTCTCTATTCCAGAGATGGTCAGTGTTCCACAGAACCTAACATTGCCACTGCTGATGCCTATTGTTACCCTGATGGAGCGACAAGCTGTCACTTTTGAAGGGATGGATCTGTGGGAAAGCAGTGACCAAAGCTGTGAAATAATGTTCAGGCACTTGACCACGGCTCGTCAGATAGCACAGAATGCAGAAACGTACAGCTTGACTGCACAACGGATGCTGGAAGGTAGGGAGCACCTACAGGAGAACTGCATATTAACAGAACATGTGGGCTGTGTCTGAAGAATAAGATCTCTGCTTAAGTGAAAGGAATAGTCGCTACAATAAATTCTTCTCAGTTTTCATGGGAGCTGATATAGAAGCAAAGGTCATGCAGGAAAGTCGGTAACTGAATCTAAGTACAGGAAGAATCAAGGAAAACTCACTGCTTCCTGTGCAATTGAAGTCTGCACTCTGATCTTTGGAAATAAGTTGCCATTTACCATAGCAAGATTCTTTACCAGGAGGCCAAGATGCAAGACAAAGATCTTGACTTCTTGCAGCTAGAAAGGAGCAGTAGGTTAGTAATGTGACTTTTATAACTTAAGATTGCAGTGAAAAAGTTGAGACAGGGAAGAAATGTAGTTCTACAGCAAGCATGCAGCAAGTATGCATCAGTAATTAGTTTCTAATGACTGTACTGACAATTATGTGCATAGCAACTCTAGACCATTAGAATTCAGCAAAGGATAGCTTATCCCAGTATACCTGCAGCCATTCTAGTGCTACTAGAATACAACATGTTGAAGTTTTTCACTTTTTCTAGCTTGTTAAAACAGTGCAAAAGAAACTGAGCAGACTAAAGCTCTTCTTATTTGCAGGAATGCAGTTTAAAAGGCAATTCTTCCAAGTATAAAAAACTTGCTTGATGGTGACACTATTATTTTTACTTACTAGGTTTCCAGCCAGATGAAGAGATGAGCGAAATCTTCAAGACAGAATTTCAAATGAGATTGCTCTGGGGCAGCAAAGGAGCACAAGTTAATCAGAATGAAAGATATGAGAAGTTCAGCCAGATTTTAACTGCACTTTCCCGAAAACTGGAACCTCCTCCAGTGAAGCAGGTGGAACAATTAAGTATCTAAGACTATAAAACACTATTAAGTGAAGATATACTTGAAATAACTGTAGCTTGCTTTCAGTAATTTGATACTGCACATACTTCTTGCATTTCACAAGATGTTTAGAACTTCTAATTGCACAATGCACACTTGTTTTAAAACTACTGACTTCTCCAACAAATTATTTATTTACTGTGCCACTACATCGTTAAATGATCCCTTTATGCAGGTAGGTTGTCCCTGTAAAGTACTTCTTTAGCTTTCTGCATTTCCTTAAGGTTGCAATCTTTTGATAATGCCTAAGAATAGAGGCATCTGCATTATAATTATATTTAAATGAAGCAAATAGTGTAAATAAAGTGATAGATTAACTATGTGACAGTTGTATAATACTCCTTAACTGGGTATAAAACAGTGTGTATAGAATTGTGAATTAAAGTATATCTTTATGCAAAATAATCTATAGTTGAAGAAATTATCTGTGACTGCAACAGAAGGCTCAAATTTCACTTTACCTATGGAAGTGGAAAATTAATTGTGTGTGTTGGGACAATTGAAAGTTTTTTTTTCCAGACAGCATGTGAAGCACTTTAGTTTTTGCTGGAGGCTGGGCAGCTACGCTGCCAGGAAATGAATGATGAAATGGCAAGAACAAACAACCTAGGTAATTAAAATGCTTTCATATATGAGTAAAGGTGGGTGTACATATATATTAAAACTTACTTCACATTCTGAGGTGAATCACGATAAGCAGTACTTACTTTCTTTTTTTTTTTCTTGGATGAAGAGTTACTTCAGATTTCATAGATAATCAGAGTGCATAATGTTAACGTAAAGAATGCTTCAGCAGCAAATATTATATTGTCATTACACGTACAGACTTGATGTATAAGCATTCTCAGAAATTGTATAAATAATTAGGCAAGAACTGTGGTTACAAAGTTGCATTTGTTCACTGTAAGTAAGCCTGTCTCTGGAGTAAGATGTTATAGCATTTTAAAGTACTAGAAGAGGGCAAGTAGGCAAATGAGCAAACCAATACCGCAATGGTGGCAATCAGTTCCCCTTTAGCTACAGTCACTGCAGAGGGACTACAACCATACCATGAGGTAACAGAGCTCCTGTTCACGTTGTCACACTGCAAAGTCTCCCTGTCAATGTTAACAAAAAGGTTGAAGCTAATTTTTTTAAACCATGAAAAGATCTTTTTATTCCATGAAAATACTCTCAACAGAGAACACTATCTTTAAACAAAGCATTTAACATTTAGGAAATCAACATGTGCACAAACAGAAGATTAAAAATTACTGGAAAAGGCAAGTCTTTTAGACACCTCACATTCAGAATTTTAGAATAAGTGATTTATAACTAGCTATGCAAGGACAGATGTATTTTTTCCTATGCTTAATAACCCTCCCACAAGTTGCACTATCCCTAGTGAAAGCAACCTGCCTTCAATGGAAGCAAATCCTGGTTTTAGAAAAACAAACAGTAGTGTAAATAGAACATTTTGTCCTTTCCCAGGAAGTGTTATTACTGACCTGTACGGCTGTTAGCCAGGCAAACCACAGGCCCTTTAGCAGAAAATACACAGATCACATTTCTTCCTTTCCTCTAGTTTTAAAATGAAAAAAGTACTATTAAAAAAAAAAAACTACGTAAATAGTTTTGTCAGTATTGAGTATTGTCACATTATAATATAAATAACCCTGTATACAAGCTCCAAAAATCTAAACTTTAGCATTTAATAGCCCCCATAATACACTAGGTCAAGCTGTGTAATAATGGTAAAAAATGAATAAACCTCTACACAAGTCACTCAAATTCAGTTTTACTGGTAGTACAGTTCCTAATAACACTGAAATTAAAAAGAATCCAGCACTTCTCCATCCAAATATTGCTTGAGACCCCACAAAAACAGGATGTTTTGATTATTATTTCCCAAACAGCAGTTGGCTGGGTAGACGAGCTTTGTTTGATGCAAATATCCCCCCCGCCCAAAATCTCTAATCTAATTATTATCACCCTAGTAGATCAGATATGATGTATTTATTAATAGAACCACAAATGGGAGGCAAGACAACATAAAGCAACAGGGGCACTGCAGACAACTATATTTACACGTATAAACATATCCAAATTTCAATTGTTTACAAGTAAAAGTGCACATAGATCATTACGAAGTATCACTCAAATTTCAACTGGTCCATACAATGAAGCATCACCTAGAAACGGACTAGCACTGCAGTAATTTAATTAAAATTGGAACTTCATAGTCAAAAAACTAAAAGAGTTTCCATAAAAATAGTTTTAAAAATATTAAAATCAAATTAAGAGATACACATCCCAATGTATAAAATTCATGATGCACCATGTATCCTGTAAAGTAGAGCTCTACAAAACACCTACCATGTCTACCTCAGCAGCTGCAGCACTGTGGAAAGAGCTGAGACACAAAGCCCTTCGTGAGATACTGTAAGTGGTAGTGTTGGCAACAACAGATTTAGGCACTATAGTTTAAGGCAGCAGTAGAATGGCAAGTGGTTGACTTCTGAAAACAGTCATTAGCTCGCAGTGGTGAATCTCTCTGGCGGTGTTCCAGGTTTTCAGTGCTGACAGTAGGTTACTGAAGTGCTGAAGATGGACCACAGGTCTAGAAGTTTCTCTTGACTGCATTGTAGGTTAGAGCTGGGATGTATCATTTCCCCGAATCAACATAACATAAATACATTACGGTCTCTTACCGGTTATGCTAAAAACTGGAATGTAATGATGGTTGTAGTGGAAAAGTTATAGCAGCATACATGGATACTGGATGAAACTTTAGTACTGAAGGTATTTAAAGAGAATGATTTGTTACAAAATAAGAGAAGCAATGATGTCAAACAAGCGTTATGCAGATATGCCTGACTGTCCTAGGCATGCAAGAGGAGGTTAAGGGCGAGCATGGAGGTGGTGCAGGCAGACTGGTAGCTGACAGGGTTCTAAATGACTGCCATTTAAAATGAGTAGGAAAGAGTATAACCAAACCAACCAGAATGTAGCATGAGCTAAAATATAGTACGGGCCTCTTTGACCACCTATGACAATGAAAATAATGTGGTTTTAGGAAGAGAGGCCTTTTTACTCTGGTAATGGAATCCTATTTTCCTGCGCAAATTTAAGAATTTGTAATACATCCTTAGTTACGTATGGAAATGCTAAGAATGTTAGTGACTAAATGTATGTCTGCATGCATTCATGCAACTAGCTTTTCCCCTTGTTCAATGGGCATCCCAGTCTAACACCTCCCTCCCACCCCCCGCCCCAAGCAGCTGCATGTAACCTCCTTCAAGATCTCGCCCATTTTCTCAGAAACCCGCTTCAGGAACCTGCAGTCCAAGAGGAAAAAGAAAAGAACAAAGTTACTGAGGGCCTTTAGAAGACAGGGAAGCGTGCTCAGTTCTAACAGGCCATTCTCAGTGGCTATACACTAGCCTCGTATTACTCTCATAAATTCACATTAGAAATACCAGCAATAGTTTCTAGATGAAATCAAGTAGTGCAATGCAGTTTCCAAGCCTCAATGATTTAACAGTGAGGGGAACAGAATTAGTTTAAAAAAGAAAAACCTTGATTTCAAACTAAACATGATATAATTCAAAGACAACTTACAGGCACAGATTAAGAATCTAAAATCGTTCCCTTTTCAGGAGCAAATGGAGGTTAAAATTGAGTAAAACACCAAGAATTAATTAAATGCGGCTTTTGTTGTTGTTGGATTTTTTTCTGGTTCAAGGTGTGTATAGTTAAAACAATGCAGTTGTGTCCCATACACAACTTTCTACATGAGAACTACAGCAAGGGGAGGAGAGGCAGGTCAGTGGACCTTCTGTCCTTTTTAATCATACTGTTTTCTTCCTGAGTAATTTTGTTGAGCTTTTTGATTCAGAAAAGATCTTCCTGTTTAAGAAGCGAAAGATGCCAAGTATTTGCTAAGAAAGGAAATAATAATTTTCAGTAACTGAATTCAGTTAGTAGAGGAATAAAACACTCGTTTAAGCATATAGGTTTAAGTCAGGGAAGTGAACAGTGTATCTGAGTGGTCTTCAAAACTAAAGTAATTTTTCAATTCTCTGTAAAGACAAAGTATTGTACAGAACAAGCAGGAATCCTGGTCTTTCTCCATTTTATAGCTGAATTGGATTTAGTGCTTTGTAGAGCAGGAACATTTTATCAGTGAACAAAGCAGAAAGCATTAGCCAGAATTATGGACCAATTTAATGCTGTTATCTCTAGAAAAGCTACAGCAAACTCACATTGCAAACAATAGGCCATTCCTGACTTCTGTTATTCTCATGCTTTCCATGAACCTGCCTGACTTACTATTTTTCCACTATTTTCCCTGGAAAATGTACACTTGAAAGTTGCCAATTTACTGTTAGATATAGGTTACTGCACCTTTGCTGTTTTTCTCTAGCGTTACATCTATATAAGATGTTGGTACATAGCCTTCCTCTCCATTTTGTCTTCGAGCTCTTGTCCACCCATCTCCTTTGTCCTCCTCAATAATGTACAAAATTTCCCCTTCTTTCATTGCCAGAGTGCCTTCATTATGACCTGGGAAAACAGAAGGCAAAGAAGACAGAATTTCTATTTTTTTTCTCAGAACGTAGTTTCCAGATTACATATAAACAGGAAGTATCAAAAATCTGTGAAGCAAACATATGGTCAAACAGGCTGAGACAGACAAAAACCTAGTCCAATCTCTGTAGCTGAATATTTGCCAAAGTTGTGCTAACTTTTCTGAAGAAACAGCAGAGAAGCAGTACTTATGAATTAAACTTATTTCCACTGCTCTTATAAGCAACCAGTTGCTCATAAAAATTTACATTAATTTACCTCAATTCTCTGCAGCAAAACATCCATACCCTACAGGCAAATTATTTTTGAGTCAAGCAACCATAGTATATGTTGTTAACCTTACCATCAAAAGGATATATTGCCTTGCAATGTCCTATAGCTGGTAATGGATCATCATCTTCAAACTCATCGTCAAACTCATTTGGATGCGCGTGCTGCTGTGGTGGGCCTCGGACTTCCTGATTCGCATCATCTGTGTAACTCCCTTCAGGGCTATAATGCAATGATCGCAGCGTGAGGATTCTTCAGAGTTCTGAGCTCTGAAACTCTGAACATATATACATCATAGGAAAGTGCAAGACCCTGGATATTTCTTTGGGAAGGCATGTTAACAGTTCCGGAAGTGATCTTCTGAAAGTGTTTTGATCTAACAACAAGGGCTTGGGCCAAATTCTCTTACAAAACCAAAGAAATCTGACATACCTGTCTTTGCAAAACACGGAAAACAGGTCAGTGTAACGTAATGGAAGAAGACAGCATTAAAAGGTACTATGAGCAGGTGTTACAGTTCAACTCTCCATTTTTCTACATTACCATGATGATCTAAGTGACCTCTAGAATTTAGAACTAGTAAGAAAGATTATCCTTTGGAAGGACAAAAACTTTCAGAGGATAAGGAGCAACCTTCTATTAACTATTGGAGAGAGATACTGATTCTAGCACAGATTTAAAAGCAGTAGAGATAGAATAGAATAGTGACCTCTCTCTGCCCTGTGTTACAAGGTGGTTGATATCACTGCTGTGTCGCCTGTCAGTTCTGGCTGCTACTTTTCCTTCAACTTCAGAGAGCCAGGCCTTGAAGAAAAGAAGACAAATACTGGTATCAAGATGAACGCTGATCCTAAACCAGCAACTACAATTTAAAAAATGCACTTAACTACATACTGTTTAGTTGTTGGTGTACAGCCACAGAGGGACTGTATTCATCTATGAAGTCTTGAAATTATTTTATATGAAGCATGAACCTAACCCCCTCTGCTTAGCCTATACTCTGTACTGGAGTTAAGTAACAGAGAAAAAAAATCTGTAACCACCTATGACTTGCAGAATAATTCATTCATAAATTCTTCTCAACATCCTGCATCTACTATAAAGTACACTGTCATTCCAGCTAGACTAACATTTCTGAAAATAGAGCACCCCACAGAAAAGTGTATTGGGAGATCTTGGTTTAATCAAGTAGTTTCACAGCTGATATGTAACCCATAAGGCAATGTACCATAATATTATCATTCATGTACATTTTCTAAGAAATTGCTTTAGATTCTAACCTCATTCTTGTGTATTTCCATCCGCAGGCGGTCCATGTTGCTCATTGTCTCAGCTAACTTTGGCTGTAAACTGCTTGGATCACCCATCTGGGGATTTTTTTCATAAACATCTCTCATCTTGATGAGGGCATCTCTAACATAGAAAACCCCACAATAATTATACAAATTATATATACCTGTACTAGTTCCTTAAAGCAAAGATAATGTTTACATTTGAAATCTTAGCCCATGATTACAGTTCACAGATACTAAACAAAGATACTATACTGGAGCAGGAGGATGCAATGTTAGCGGAATCTACGTATGGCAGATCTTCAATTAAAAATATTTTCACTAGCTTAGAATAGCTTATTCTCTCCTAATTTTTGAAGTTTTTGGCTAAAGCATAGGACTTTATGATGCACTCACTTTTGGTCAGTTTCCTTCTGTAGTTCTCTGTTGAGTTCATCAATTCTCTGCTGAAGTTTCTTGCGTCTCTGTTCTGGAGGAAGGTGGCTGAAGTCTTCCAGTGCAGGGCCCTGAAAAAATACATACTATTACACAAGTAACACACGCATCAAGGCAGCTGAACTGACATACCCACACATGAACGGTGTTCACTGGAAGCAAGATGGACCTTCTCAGAACTCTACTTGACACACAGCTCTTTAAAAGACCACAACAGAATTGATGCGTGTTCTTGGTGCTATCCTGTAGTCACTCATTCAAGGTTCTTTCTACCTTCTGTAACAGCTGGCTTGGTGTTGCGATTAATAATTTGTAGATTAAGCACTAATTAGTCTAAGAAACTGAGCCACGAAACTTCCTAGTTTAGCCACTGCCCCAGTGCAGATGTAACAAAACCAACATTACTTACTGAACATTTATTTCAGTCAGAAGAAAAATCTAATGTGTATATAGCACATAGGTAATTGAATCTTTCCACAGACTGTGTTTTCAATGGCTACTTGGATGCTGTCAAAAAAAGAACACTGTCATTTGGACCTTTGTTCCAAAATATTAATAATATAGTTCTCTTTCAGAAGCTCATCAATCTTGCTAGAAAACATATTAAAAGAATCTCAATTGGACTTACAAAGTTCTGACACATTTTCCCTAGAGTAAAATCAGTTCACAGAGCATAGAATTTATACAAGCCAACAAAACTTGATCATATATTCCAAGTAACCTTCTTAATTACAAAAAAGAACATTTCAAAGGAGGGAGAAAAACCTGCTAATTCTCAATTTTTATTATTATCTTTTTAAACTTAAGGCCAAATATTGGTATGAGCCCACATTTGCAAAGGTTTGATTGCAAGCTTGTGCTAAGATTATAAATAGTATGGTAGAATTGGCATGTAATAAAGCATGGGAGGAGATTTTTACCAATCATGTGAAATTGATGTGCCAACTTTCCTCCATGAGCAATAGACATCTAAACTGCTTATTAAGAAGGAAATATAGTACACATACTGGTAACAAAGTTACATTACTTTCTTACAAATATTTGTAGGTCAAAAAAACCTGCTTGCCATTACAGAGACCCTCCACAGATGTAAAATGAGCTGGACAGCATTTCTTTTGACAGGAAGCCTAATAAACATTGCTGTCAAGATTTTGACACAAACGGCCTTAGGTCCAGGTGCAGTTCTGGGTTTCTAGATTCCCCCATCTTAATGATCTTCTTGCCCCTCAACTTCTTGGCTCTCCTCCACTTCTAAAATCCTAATCTCTCTTACTTTCTAAGATGGAAATACACGAGCCCATTAAAAAGAAAAAAAAAGGAAACCAAAGATCAAAGTATGGTGTTTCAAAAACAAAGCAAGAGTGTTTCTTAGAAAACAAAAAGGCTTTCAGGTGCTTCCACACGCTACAGAAAAACAGATAATCACGTCCTTTGTATCGTTGTTCCTTACAGGTCAATTAATTAAAACCAGTGAGTAATATTCAGAGGAACACAGTTATTCATGTGATTTTTTTTACTTTTTTACTCTGCAAAGTTACAATATCGATTAAGGGGCATTTTTTTATTTAATATAAAAGCTTTCTAGTACTCCTAAACATAAAGGATCATCTCCTCTGTAAATGTCAGGTTGAATTCAAATGCATGAATTTTGCAATATTCACTATTCCTCTTTTAAACAAGTCTTGTAATCTTTTTGTATACTCTTATTTTATGCTGCTTTAAAAATTATTTCTGAAACAGAGAAAGCATAAGTATTTCCATCATCATCAGCTGATGAATGCTGGTCAACCTTAAAATCCCAAAACCACAGAATAAACTGCAGACAGATCACAAGTCTCATTATCTCATGTTAAGCATGTGGATGGTTAAGAACATGACTGTGTATGAGAATGGAAAGTCTGAAGATGTATTCCAGTGCCTGACTTAGAGCAGTTATGATATGGAAACACTTTCAGAAGATTACTTTCATGCTATCTTAGCAGAAGTACAGCAGACAGATCAGCACACGGGCTTACCGTCTTCACCGACCACTGCACAGTTCATTTGAAAACAGAAAGAAACGGGAAATTACTCACATGTAACGACCAGTTACAAAAATGATTAATGCCTAAAAATGTATCTTTAAAGTATTAAACATTAATATTTTAAACTATGAAAATACGTTCTACTACGAGCACAAGAACAGCAAAAGACAATCAGGAATGCACTTCTGCGCTAAGCATTATAGATTTAAAAAAATCAGTAGATGAGAATAGGTAGTTTAACTTACAAAACTATAAAACACAACTTCTTTAAACTAGGGTTTAGATTTGAGTGTTCAAATGATACACTTAACAAGCTTTTACTGTGGCAGAAGAAACGCACACAGCCAACACTGCACAAAATAGCAGAATTTGATGATGATGAAGGACTGATCAGCCACATACAAATAGCTTTTTACAGCAATCCACTACCATCACCTTTACAAAGGTAATTTACACCTTATTATCACAGAATGCTACAATAAACAAAGACCTTTTTCAAGTTAATGATTTTACTTTTTGTAAACAAACATTTGGGTCAGCACTGCTACCCTAGAATGTTTTAGTTATTCAACCTGGAAGAAGTAAATAAACAAAAGCACAGCTTTGCTTTAACATTCACTATGCTTTCCATGACCTTTTATAAGCCTTTCCAGAGAATGGCTAAGGAACTTAGGAGATAGACAGATATCTGCATTGATATGACCTTTAGCGATTGCTATGACTATTGATGATTAGAATTTCTAGCAATAAAGAAAACAAACATCCTTCACAAATGATACCATGGTAGAAACCTCAACAAAGTTCAAAGCTGTACAATGGCTACAGAATAAACTACTTTTTCTCTCTACAAAGAGCCTTCTAAGAAAATGCAAAATAAGATTTATGTATCACTGTTCACAACACAACCATGTATGTATCAAGCAGCAGTGAGGAAAGACCTTGTAAGTAAATGGAAATGATGATTTTGAAAACAATAAGCTGCATGGAGTAACAGTATTAATGAAAGGGAGGTGTGGCTATTCCTAAGGCTTTCTTCCATAGCCTGTTAATTTTGTATAGAGAGAGAACTTCAGCTACTGCACACTATGTTCTATGTACAGCAGATGGCAGGAAAAATCCTAATGCATAAAGCACAGAATGAGAGCAGCTCAGTTTTGTGATCTCTAGTGCTTCAAATGACATCTGGGGCATAAAAAGCAGCATGTCTGGTATGCTTATTACCTGATCTTTGCTCATGGATAAATCTCAAAGCAAATTAAAACACCATTTGAAAGTTGTGCCTGTCAATTCTATTTGGACATAGTTTTCCAGGGATAAAACCATGGAAAACAGCACTTTGTATTAGGAACTATTAAGAATAGAACAAACAGTATTTCAAAGATAAAACTGGTCAATGACATAAAATCTATTAAAATTACAGCACACATTTAAAGACATTTGATATGTGAGGTCTTTAAATGTTTGCAAGGTATTTCAAACCACATAAAACAAAATATTCATCTGGAAGACTTAGAGATTTCAAAACATTTGATACTGCAGGATAACGGAGATCATCCACATTTGGATGTTACTATCAATCTTCTGTATTAAGCTGATTCTATTTTACAGCATGGTCAATAAATTGGTAAGAATACAAAATTAAAATACTGTTTTTGTTTTCCATGGGTATTTTCTAGTTGTTAGTAACAAATTCTAGATCTATTAAGATTAGAAGGTGTCAATTTGTGAGGAGTTGATATATCCAATGATAAAACAAAAAGGTGGGGGTTAATCAAGATCTCTGCTACTTCAGCAACTTTAATCCAGTTCTTGAGTAGGTAAGGAAGGAATACTGTATCTTCACAACCAAAATAGATTACAATACCATTCAGAAAATAAAAGGAAAAGCTTCCCTTCATCAATACATACAAAATATCTGGGGGGTCTGATATAAGATGCCATGACATGATTTAAAGAAAGTACATTAAAGCATAGCTGATAGCAAGGGAGCCTCTAAATCATTAACTTTACTGCACTGCTACGCTGTACTTTGATCTCCACGTTACAGTAACCAGCCATTCTTGGTGCATATGAGATAGCATGCTGATTTTTGTTTTTGAATACAAGAAAATCATGAATTAAATATAATCAGGTACATCCAATTATCTCATTATAAAGATCACTAAGCATCTTAAAACACACAAACTGAGCAGCCTGTATTTCACTGAAATAACAGGAAAGTGGCAATACACTTATCACTTGTACTGTAAATGTTGCTAAGAAACCACTTAACAATTCTGTTGTCTTCCAAACAAATTCTATTTGCAGAATATGCCATTCATAATTGATAAATGAATTGACAAATCTCAAAGTAGCATTTGGTAGTTATTTTTCAATACCTTTACCCAGAAGTACCTTGGACAAAAACAATTTGTTAAGCATAAAATTAAGAGGGTAATTTTTCAGAAAATCAGGATTGCAAAATCTGCAAGCACTGTGTGCTGAAACATTTGATGTATAAAAAAATAAATGAAACTTCTCCATTCTTCGTTCTGTCTCAACATCAACTACTATTATTTCAATTAGAAGTCAGCAAATAAAGCGATCATCTGTAAGCTTTTTTTATGGTTACTATTTACACCCTGCGGTGTAGTACTGCTAAAATATGGTATATGATGGTAGGAAAACATTTGTGAACGTGAACAACAATGAATAAAAGTTATCAAACACATGCTGAGCACCCTCTTTATAAAACTTTTTTTTAGACACAAGCATTTGGAATGTTACAACAAGTATTTACACTATTGCAATTTTAATCTGGTGGTAAGGTCTGTATAATATGAAAAAAAAAAAACCACAAACCAACAACCACCAGAGCATCCTAAAAGTGACTGTATAGCTGAGTATTGCTTAAAAAAGAGTAAGCCTTATAATGAGGGTGAAGAGCATTAGAAAAGCCACATCACAAACACACTGTTCATAGCCCATCATGCATTTCAACTTTTTATCCAACTTACCCCTCTTTTGAGGCTTCTGAAAGAAGGAATTCTGGGCTTCCCTGTTTTTATGTCACTCATGCAATAATGCACTGGTTCAATGGAGAATATGGGATACTGGGACCCATTAGGAGTACTGGATATGTATAAACTAGTAGGGGTTAGGGGTGGGGACTGTGGCTAATGTGGAAATAAAGAAAGCAACAAATAAGCCAAATGTTCAAAGTGATTTTAAAATGAAAATTCTGTCTTATAAAAGCAAAATTTCCAGCTATCACAAACACCTTTAACTTTCACAGACACGTTTATGCTATCACTGTATGGGTTTTAAGAGGTTGCTGTCACAAATTAATCTTCAGAGACAGAGGAATATTTAACAAAACTCCAGGCTCAACTTTCATAAGATCTCAAAAAAGATTCCAAACTTGTTTCTCTGTTCTTTTAGAACAGGAAATGTTGCTTTTTCCAACTTTATTTATGGTCATTCCGGAAACTTGCGCAACTGTGCTCACATTTTCTTCCTACATTTTGATGCACCTTCCCCAGTAAGTTAGAAATAATATGTACGTACATGGAGAATGACCAAGAAAGAGGTCTACTGAGACCTCTTGTAATCAAACTGGACTTGCAAAATGGCTGCGTACCATTCCTAATCAACATCATCACTACAACTTCCCCTGCTTTCTTCCTCCACTTTTAAAAAATTGCTTCTCTGATGGTTTCTCTCTCCTGCTCTTTGCTGCTTTTGCCTATTTCAGTTTTCCCATTTTCTCTGCTACACAATTCATTCTCTTTCCGAAAGGCTCTTCTGTCTGACAACATCAAAAAATAGGTAAACATATGTAAGGAAGTCAAGACCATCCACAGTTCAAGCTAAATGAAGGCCCAAAATGCCATCACAAATACATCAAATACACTAAGTTAGTATTTTTGCTTTGGTTTTCTATTAGCTTTGAAATACTATTAGTTTTGAAATTAGTTTACTATTAGTTTACTATTAGTTTTGAAATACTTTAAGAATGTTATGTGCTTATATTCTTATAGGAAATATAATAAATAACATACTGTTTATATAAAATATATACAATTCCAAACATATATATATATTCTGATGTATATTTTACTTCCAGCTGTTTTTTTTTTGTTTGTTTGTTTTTTAAAGGTGTGTTCATAAATCCCTTCCTCCCACCCTTCCCCCTCCAAAAACAAAAACTGAACATAATCTTCCATTTATTCCAGGTACTTAAGGAAGAGTATGTAGAATTTATACATATTTGTGTGTCTGTGTTTCCACATAGGAAATAGCATGTAGCGTTCATAGTCACCTCTATGAAGTGAACAAACTGTGGAGAACAAAGAGTAGGGAAACAGTCCTGACAGCTTTCCTCAGCTGTCATCATGCTATGGAATATCTTCTATCTACAGTAAACATCCAGACCAGAAGCACATTTAGATCGTCACTGCTTTGCTGCCTGTGGCAGAGGATGTGTGTGTGTGTGTGAGCACACATGCAAAGCTTTTGGACACAGGGCTTATTACCAAACTGGTAGTCATGACTGCAGCCAAATGCAATAAAGATGGTAATATGTTGAAATGATAAACTACTATCAGTCATTAATTACACTGCATGAAAGGTAAATAATCAGTTTTCATTTTAACACAGCTGCAGTTACACATAATATTGAGGAGGAGAAAAGGAATCAGCTGAATCTTTTCTGCAAAGATCTGCTTGCTTGGAATACTATCAACTGGAAAATAAATCCCAGCCCTCATGAGCTGTAAGGACAGCTTTCTACAAAGTGGCAGAAACCAATGTGGAAGATTAAAACAATCTCACCAAACTCTGAGGGAATCATTTAAAAGACTCACTTATATGTTCTAATACTAGCTAAAATCCTACCATAAAATTTAAATTTGTGCCTACTTCCATTTTTTTCCTGAGCATAGGCATATTTTTACCTTTTTCACAGCTACATTTCCTCTGGGATATTTTCCTGTATGGATCTTCAACAGTATGTTTTATCAGTGAATTACTGTAAGTTTTAATATTTTTGAAAATAGCACATTTAATTTAAAAAATAAAAATAAAATCTATGTACTATTCCTATTGATAAACATACATAAAATGTGACATTTTAAAGGAGGTTGCTTTTTGTAGTATTAAAGAGAGATCTGAAGCCTGCCTGATTCCAAAGCATAAAACACACCCTCTCAGTTTGTTTTGCTTATTTTTATGTCCAAATCAACACTTTTTCTATGCAATTACAGAAAGTCTTTACAGCAACTCAAAATAATTAGGGAAGTTGGAAACTACTTTTATTTACTATATTTCAACCTATGCAGAACATCGAGTAACGGATAAAAAGCCTTACAGGACACAGACCACTGGAAGAATCGCAAAACCTCCTTCCACAAAAACCTGAGAACATCCAACCTTACTCAAACTGTATGTCATCAAAAAACAATGGAGTACAAGAAGAACGTACTTTTAAAATAAATAATTGCTATTTCTATGTGCTCTGAATCTTCACATTTTAATTTTATGAGTAGTAATTTCAGAATTGTTACCTTTGGCTTTTTTCCAAACAGCCACAGCTTTCCTTTTGCCTTGCCCACTGTAGTTTTTGAATCAATTCTCATTCCTTCCTGCTTTGGTGTACTGATGGTTCCATCAGAGATAGTTCTGTAAATATTCTGACTGTAGTCTTCAAATGGAAAATCTCCAGGAGGTTCAAAACCAGATTTGAAGCAGTCTATCACTAGCTGGGAGTCCTAAACAGAACGTGAGTGAGTTTAAAAAGAAAATCAAGCAGTTATCAAGAGAGGAGAGAAACCTGGAGACATAAATTTTCCCTTCAAGTGAAAAGATGCACAGGTGGAAAACAGAGAGGACACAAAATGCCTTCTGTTGGACTGAAGATAAAGTATGTTCTTTTTTTTCTCAGCAGCGTTACCAATGGCACAAATCAAAGCATACATACACTGCTATTCAGAAGCCAGCAAAGAGTCCCCACAGGTTCTTAGGAATTTAAGGCAGGGCAATGGTTTACGCCCAAATTAGACTCCATCTTTTTATACTTTATCCAATAATGCTACATGCCAGAGAAGACACCAACCATGTTGGTATTCTGGGATGTTTCAGGGTATGCAAAACAACGCATCCAAATCATATATGATGTTAAACATCTTCAGATCAAAGTAAAACAATAAAACATGAAGAGAACAAACACCAGCAATACTGGAAACAATCATTAAGACTAATACTTTTATGGCAAATAATTGAAAACATAAAAAATGTACAGGATTAAGTAATTTTCCTCTTCTCTCCCACTCTCCACGTATCAGTTCACTTTCTAATATGCATTTCCTAAGTAACTCAATTCTACTTACTCTATGTTCATCAACTGATTTTGCTGCAAGGATCATCCCCTCTAAGCATTTGGAGATGATTGGAATAACCTTGCGCTCAGAGTCAGCAAAGCCTTTGTAACATTCACTAAGTTTGATAGTCCTTCTTTCATCCATTTCTTGAAGTTGCTGCAAGCACAAAGGAAGATAAGTATTTATGGACATTTTTTCCTGATG